ACTGGACCGAGGACATTTAGGGCTTTCAAGGTCAGCACCAACACTTTGAATTGTGCTCAGAAACGTACTGGGAGCCAATGTAGGTTGGCTGCCTATCCCAGGCTGTTCTGTCTACACAACACCTCACTGCCACTCCCAGAACCTGCGGCCCGAGGCAGTCCCTTACTCCGCCTAACGGTAGAACCGGCCCTGTGTTACAGGATACACTGACATAGGCATGGAATAAAGCCATGCGCTTTATTCTTTCCTACTGAAACCAATGATATTTCTTTTAACAATGCTTAGTTCTGATGGAATCATGCCCAGTGATTCATCAAATGAGCTTTTTTGATCAATCAGTCAATCAATCAATCAATCAGCATCAATCAATCAATCAGTCCTGCACTTTTTTTTAAAGGGTAGTGGTGCCTCAAGCATCTTTTCCTAATGGCAATTTATGATACCTAAATAGAGCCTGCATGTTCAGTTGCAGTATACCCTCAGGTATCAGAAGCTGGGGTTGGGGAAAGATGCCCAGAGAGGACTCCTACTCTCTTGTCCAGTTAAGCCCCATTATACCTCTCCTCTGTGAATTTGTCAAGTCCTTCTTAAAAGACACTTAATTGGCCAGCATGCCATCTTGTGGCAAGGAGTTACACACACTGAACTGTGCAAAGAGCTCCGTCTTCTTGTTTCCTCAACCTTAGGCCAGTCAATTTCACTGTGTAGCTTTGAGTACCAAGATTTTCAGAGATGAAGAGAGAGGGGGAGAATGACAGAGAGTGGATGGGACCAAAAAATGGGGGCGGGGAATGGTTGAAACCATGAAGATTTGGGCTGGCTCAGTCACAAATTTGGCAGCTGTCCAGGGCAGCGTTACTTGAAGTGCTGGGCTATTCCTGAATAAACCCACCTGAGAACCTTCTGCAACATTCAGCACTGAGAGGCAGTATGGTGTAGTGGTTAGAGTGTCAGACTAGGACTGGGGAGACCTGGTCTCAAATCCTCACTAAGCTATGAAGCTCACTAGGTGACCTTGGGCTATTCTTACTGCTTCGCAGGGTTGTTGTGCGGATAAAATGAGGAGGAGGAGATCTAGGCTTGAAACCTTGAGCTCCTTTGAGAAAGAGGGGATAGAAATGCGATAGATAATATAGATAAACATTCCCACTTCCCCAAAATGATGCATGAATCAAACCCTGGCTATTGCTTTAAAATTGCACTTCTCCAGATTTTGTGTTGCCCTTCTCCAACCCCAAACACAAATAAATTAGATGAAAGCATTGCCGGAAATAGCACAAACCATGCATTAGGTACGGAAAAATAGCTTGCAAAAATGGGCATATTATGTAAAACTGCACACACAAATGTGTGCATTTGCCAGGCTGGTGTAGCAGCAGGCCAGGACCTGGGAGACCAGAGTTTGAATCCTCACTTATCCATGAAGCTCCCTGAGTGTGGCCTAGGGCCAGTCACTGCCTCTCAGCCTAATGTTGTGCGGATTAAATGGAGAGCAGAAGAACCACGTGATCCACCTTGAGCTCCTTGGCGGTGGCAGGGGTGGCGAAGGCCAGATAAAAAGGCAATAAATGAAGATGAGAAGACATGCATCCTGAAATCCTGGCCAATTTGGATCAGGACTTAAAAAGAGAGAGCGCTTATGTGGAAGTGTGGCAAAATGAGCGTAAGACTGAAAAAAAGGAGGGGAGGAAATGAAATGGGATGGTTCGCTTATCCCTTTCCTGGACAGAATCTCTGTGCAAAGAATCTGGCCCAGGCTGGGCTCTAAATGACTGGCTTCCATAATTTCCCCCCAAAGCTGGACTTGCTGCCCAGCTCAGCAAGAGAAGAATACAAGCGAAACTGAAGTGGCCAGTTTCTTTCATCCCGACCCTTGAGTCAGCTCTGATGATTGAGGCTATGTGTCTGTCAACTGAGGTTCTTTAACCATACAACGAGGTCATGGAATGATTGAGCCCAGAATCCAACATCTCAAGGACCTTCGCTTCATTTCCTTTGGTTTCGCAACAAATCCCTTGGTCTTTAGGATTGCAACGAGAAGCTTGGGGATATGACGGCATGGCCTGGTAGAAAGGTCAGGTGCTGGTTGTTAGGGGGAAGGTCCCAGGTTCAGTCTTCAGGTAGGGCTGGGATAGTCTCCTTCCTCAAACCCTGGAGAGCTGTTGCCAGTCAGAGTAGACAATATTGATCTAGATGGACCAATGGTCTGACTCAGGGCAAGGGAGTGTCTTAGGTTCCTATGGTGTGTGTGTGTGTGTGTGTGTGTGTGTGTCTTTGTTTGGGAGGGTGACTTTATCAGAGCTTGCAATTAGGAAAGAAGGGTTCAGAGGGCATTGGATCCTTTTGTGTCTCTTCTTAAGACCAGAAGCCAAATTCATCATGCCAGTCCACAAACTTTGCAGATTTAAGGTTTAACTTGCACAATCCATTTAGGTCATGGGACCATCCAACCTCTGTTTAAAAACCTCCAGTGAAGGAGAGTCCATTGCTTTCTGAGGCAAGTCCATTCCACTGTAATGCATTTCTGTATATTGTTTTCACTAAGATGCAATTTTTGCACACGTATCTGGTTGCAGAACTGCGTTGCAAAATTCGGAAGAGTGCACATTTCAAATACGAGCAGAGTTTCTTTTGTGTGTGTGTATTGATTCAGGAAGTGTGAATTTGGGGAGTTCACCCTAAAATGTGAACTAAACAAATTTCTTCATCTCCTTACAAAAACTCACTGAGTTACCTTGGACCTGTTTCCCTCTCCTCTCTGTCTTTCTGGATAATCCCTTGCTGCAAGGATAAAAGTGGGGGAAACCCATAGATATCTTTCTGAGCTCCATGGGGTTGGGTGCTAGAGAAGCAGAATACAAATCCAGTAAATAAAAAGCACAGTAAGGGGTGTGTGGGTGGAGCTGTCCATCTCACTTTCTCTTGGTTTCCTATATTTTCAGTCTTAAATGCAGTTCTCCAGATTTGCTCATCAGATCTATATATTCTCACCAGAATTTGGGTGCCGTTTCCTTCTAATAGACACATGTTTACATGCCATTTTCCTATAAATGCACAATTTCTCCAAATACAATGCATCCTAAGCATTGCTCTAATATGCATCTTTATGTACATTTTATATACATTTTTGCACACATTCGTTGGCTGGAGAACTGCAACATTCTGGGAAGTGCACATTTTGAAGGACGGCTGTTGTTTGGTCCATGTGTTATTGTTTCAGAAAGTGCACTTAGGTAGGTTCACTTCGAAATGTGACCTCAATGCAATTCCTCTCCTACGGCTATTTGACAGGGGAGCGTGTGCAGGAGCTTCTCTGGTGCCCCAGAAGGAGAAAAGTCACCCTCTTGTCCTTTCTTGTGGACACCAGTTCCAAGGTCTTCTTCTGTCACACTGCCACCCCATTGTGCTCCAGAGAAGATGGCCTTGTTACCTGTCCTGACCCATTTCATGCAGGTCAGCTTCCCATGTGCACAAGCAACCCCAGAGGTCTGTGTGAAAGGGTACATTTGCAGGGGCAGCTGCACGTCTTCCAGAATCAATCAGATTTGTGCAGCAGTGGCTTAAGAGTATCTTTTGGCAGAGTGGGGAAGAAAGACTCTGAGCACTGATGAGCTCCACAACTCTGAAAGCTTCACCCCTGCTACAAATTCAGGTGCTCCCACATAAATACAGTGGCGGCCCATAGCTGTGTGAGGCCCCACACCCATGTTTGCTCACAAAAGGGTGGCATGGGAGACCCTGGTAGCGTGGACTGGAGTTGGCTCAGTTTTGCAACGCAGTCCCCCGGGGGAGAAGGTATTGTGTGTTTCTTTCAGCCTGTTCGCTTTGGAACATGTGAAGTCCTTCTGAGTGGCCATGAAAAAGTGAGGCCAGTCTAGAGAGTTCAGTGCAGGCAGTTTTAATTGAGTCAAGAGAATGTCTGATCAGATTAACTTGACCCATTACTTTGGTCAATACTGTTAAGTGATTCTGTAACTAGATCACTTTCCTCTTCCTGGATCTCCGAGCAAGGGAGAAAATCATTATGCTAAGAGAGAAGGGACCCCTTTTCTTGGTTGCACCAGCTGGAGAACAGTTAAGGGTAAGCCAGACATGTACCAACAGACTAAAGGCTGCGATCCGAAGCATGCCAACTCCGAGGGAAGCTCAGTAGGAGCCAGTGGGGTTTGCTTCCAAGTAGCAACCATATGCAAGCCCAGCTTGATGCGATGGAACTTACCAACCGAATGTGCTTTTAGCATCTGAGGATGTTCAGATCCAGTCTAATGACATCACCCACCCCTCAAAAAAAGAAAAGACCATTTGCTTTGAAATGGCAATTAACTGCCACTAAGAAACATGCTAAGCTAGATTCATCTATTCATCTCTCTCTCTCTCTCTCTCCATTTGCTTTAATTGTGGATCGCAGGCTTAGCAAAAGACCACCCCCCAAACGCCAAACATGACCTCTCTCTTTCCCCCCAACGTGGAATGGTTTGGCTGAATTTGGGGGCGCATCCCCCAGACCACTTGACACCGATTAGCTGCCTCTCAACCCACTCACACTCTCCACGTTTTTTGCCCAGATAGCCAGGGAAGCTAGCGAGGGGCAAAAGGGTGGATTTAGGGTGACCTTTTCCAGGAAAAGCATGCTTTTCGGGAAGCTGACACTCCGTATGTCCATAGGCAGTGTGGGTTGGGGAGAGAGTCATGATGGATCCAGCCATTCGCGACGGAACAACGCGACCTCGCAAAGTCTGCTTTTGCGAATTCACCCTTCCAGACCTCACACCTGGTCACTCACCCACCGCCTCTCTACTTATAGGCTTCCCCGCTGGGGTCAGCCCTGGCCGGTGGGGAGACAGACACCTCCGGGAGCAGGAAACGCTTCCTGGCAAATCTTTGAACCCGGCGCACAGCCGCGCATGCATGGAGACGAACCGCGCAGACCGCAGCCGACGACCCACAAATCTGGCGCTGAAAAGCCACTCCGAGGGAAGCTGGGCTTCTTCTCCACTCACCTGTCAGGATCAGCGTGAAAATGTACAAGATCCCCTTCATCCTGGGTTAGATCCCGGGCCCTTCTTCCCGTGTGGCAAAAGCTCAGGAGGAGGAGGAGGTGGGGAGGGAATCAAAAGAGGACAGTTCTTGACCCCTTCAATCCCAAACGCATAAGAATCCCCAAGCGCTTTGGGGGACCCAGCCTTGGTCCTGATGGGAGAGCATCTCTGCTGGACGGCTTAGCCCTTCAGTTCCTGCCAAGGTGGTTCAGGAAGGAGCGGATGGGCTTCTCCTGCTTCGCATATCCCTCTCTAACTTCGAGATCGAGTCAAGCGAGCGGGCTCCCCCCTCCCGTCTCCTTTGCAAACTTCTCGCAGAGAGGAGAAAGGAAGAAGGGGGGATGAAAGCCCTACACTCGCCACCCAGTTTGGAATTCAAGGCGGAGATCAGGTACCCTATCAGGTCAAGTAGACAGGACATCCATAGCTCCTGCAGTCCGTCTTGGGTTCGGTGCGCAAAAGCAGGGAGTCGCGGGTGGGAAGCAAAGAGGCCAGCCTAATTTCGGGAGCTGGGTGCACCGGCTCCTTCCTCCTCGCAGCTTTTCTCAGCTCTGTGCCTGCCTCTGCTCCGAAACGCTGCTTTCTCTCTGCCTGGTCAGGGAAACAGCTGGAGCAGCCTTAAAGGGGCAGGAGCAGACAGAGCTTTCCAAAGGGACGAGGAGCGCCGCTCGCCGACCACCCTCCATCACCTCCCGCGCCCCCGCCACTCCTCGGACCTTCCCGCCGCGATTTGCTCCCGAGTCATTTGATAGGGACGGGCCAGGGTTTGTTCCAGAACAATGGGAGGCAGGGTAACCAGGAGCAGGGAAATCGAGGCTGTAAAGTTCAAGAGCGTTGCTGCTGGAGGAGGAGAAGGAGGGGAGTTGGAGGGGGGACGGACGACGACGACGCTGGGTTTGCCAGAGCGGAATTTTAATCGGTTATGTACAGTTGCTGCTTGCAAAGAATAACATGAGAGGGTAGGGTCCCCCCCCCGCTTTTCTTTGTAGAGGTTCAGGAGGGCAACGGGTGCCCTTTTATAATGGTGCAGCAGATGCGAACATCATTATTGCCTTCCCTCATTTTCTTCCTACCTGTCACCAGTCAGTTCAGCTTTGGATCAGCCTTAGAAAGCGAAGCTGAAATGAACCAGTGCGGGGAGGGGTGGGGGCGGCGGGAGGAGGTCTGAGGAACACTACGGAGCAAAATAATTGCATGCAAATTTTCCCCGATTTGCATTTACATTATGCTAATTTGATTTTTTTTTTATTTCAAAAAACCAATTCTCAGGGAATGGCCATTGTTGGGTTCTGAAATAAGGGCATATATGAGCAGGATTTGCTCTGGCTACTTGATGCTCCCACGCTGATACCTTAAAAAGGAGCCCAGAAGACTCAAGGCTTATGCTTTCTGCGTGGATGCCTCAAATCTGCATTTCAAAAACGAAAACTGAAGAGGTTCAATAGGAGGAAAAAGTTGTTGGGAAGTATGTCCGCGTTTTAAATGCACAGGGATATTTGGGTTCATTCCCTTTGGGAGGGTCTTCCCCTGAGGGTGGCATCCTGCACAGTCAGAAAGGATGCATAATTCTGCACTCCAGATTCCTACACGAAACCCTCCATGCCCAGCTCAGTAGTAGAGAGAGGAGAGCTTGTTTTCTCTCTGTGGATTTGTGGTGCCCCATTTCATTGACCATGGCTGAGGCACACAAATCTATGTTCAACTAATGACCATGCTTCCTTTGCAGAGGGGGTGGAGAGAGGAGTTAGGGCATTCTAAATAAAACCCACAAGCTCACTTCTGAAACTCCTCAGTTTTAACTAAGTCATGCTCAGTCTAAACCACTGAACCTCTTGGGCTTGCCAATCAGAAGGTTGGCGGTTTGAATCCCTGCAATGGTGTGAGCTCCCATTGCTCTGTCCCAGCTCCTGCCAACCTAGCAGTTTGAAATCACACCAGTGCAAGTAGATAAATAGGTACCACTTCGGCGGGAAGGTAAATGGCGTTTCTATGTGCTCTGGCTTCCGTCACGGTGTCCTGTTGCACCAGAAGCGGTTTAGTCCTGCTGGCCACATGACCTGGAAAACTGTCCGTGGGTAAATGCCGGCTCCCTCGGCCTGAAAGCGAGATGAGAGCTCCCCACAGTTGCCTTTGACTGGACTTAACCCTCCATGGGTCCTTTACCTAGCCTTCTAAAAATAGTAGCTTAGGGGTCTGTTCCCAAAAGGTGAGGGGGTGAAGCTCTGTGCCATTGGTTTGAACCCGTGTGACTGGTGTGTGCATGGAGAAAGAAGGCAGTGGAGCCTGGGAGCGAAAGAAACTCTACAAGGGGGATGAGGAGATGCTGGACAGAGGAAGTATTCAGAAGCCCTGCAACTGTGGAGGCAGAACTTAGCCATCACGGCTGGTAGCCATCGATAGCCCTCTCCTCCTCCATGAATTTGTCCAATCCTCTTTTAAAGCCATTCAAGTTGGTGGCCATCGCTGCTTCCTGTGGCAGGGAGTTCCATAGGTTAACCATGAGAATCTTTAAACTGTCCTGAATGTACCAACTGTCAGCTTCACTGGATGTCCATGAATTCTGGTGTTATGAAAGAGGGAGAAGAACTTTCCTCTGTCACTTTCTCCATGCTTCCTGGATAGCTCAGTTGGTTAGAGGGTGGTGCTGATGACACCACGGCTATAGAGAAAGCTGACCAGTTTACCTTCAAAGCTATGATATTAGCGGGAAAGGCAACAATAGCTTTAGCTTGGAAAGATAGAGGAAAATGGATAGTAGAGACATGGAATAGTTATTTGTTTGAACTTATTCAGATGGACCTGGGATGCGGGTGGCGCTGTGGGTTAAACCACAGAGCCTAGGGCTTGCTGATCAGAAGGTCGGCGGTTCGAAACCCCATGATAGGGTGAGCTCCCATTGCTCGGTCCCTGCTCCTGCCAACCTAGCAGTTCGAAAGCACATCAAAGAGCAAGTAGATAAATAGGTATCGCTCCAGCGGGAAGGTAAACAGCGTTTCTGTGCGATGCTCTGGTTTGCCAGAGCCACATGGCTCCCTCGGCCAATAAAGTGAGATGAGTGCCGCAACCCCAGAGTCATCCACGACTGGAACTAATGGTCAGGGGTCCCTTTACCTTTACCTTATTCAGACGGACATTGTCGCAGTCATGGCACAGGAAACAATGTGGAAGGACAAGTCCACCACCATAAGGAACAGATGGAACCCCTATCTTCAGTGGAGAAAAACTACTGGAACAAAAGACATTCGGTGGAAACTAAAGACACTATGCCCATGGCTGAGGATAATAGTCTGAACCCTTCCAATGGATATGGGGGGCTGGGGGCGGGAAGGGAGGGAAAGGAAAAGATTGTACGGGAAAGTTAAAATTCGAAGCAGATAATATAATGTATGTAAAAATCCCGAACTCGAATAGAACTTCAAAAAACAAAACAAAACTGATGACGCCAAGGTTGCAGGTTCAATCCCTGTATGGGACAGCTGTGTAATCCTGCATTTCCGGGGGTTGGACTAGATGATCCTCAGGGTCCCTTCCAACTCCATAATTCCATGCCATGCACAAATTAATAGTGTTCTTTCTCAATCCTGCTGAGTATCAGTTCTGGGCAGCATTCTGTGCAAGGAAGTCCAGAAAGAGAATTTGCAGCTTGATCGATTGCGCGCTTGCACAGTGCCCTTCACTATCGGATTCCCAGTTCAGAATAAAATACAAAGGCCAATAAAATCAATGCAGCAAAATCAATACAATGCAGGAAGACAAACCGATTGCCATAAAGCCAGCAATAAAGCAGGAATTAAAAGAGGCAAAGATACAAAACTTTAAAAGCCTGGCGCTGAAATGATGATGGAGGAAGTGAACAGAGGGAAGTTTTTCTTACACTCCCGTAAGACTAGAACTCATGGGCATCCAAATATAATATCAAATGTTGGAAAATTCAGGACTGGTAAAAGTGAACGGAGGACTTCTTCACACAACACATGTTTAAGCTATGAAATTTACACTCACAAGACATAGCAGTAGCACTAACTTGGCTTTAAAAATGGGTTAGACCATGGGTAGGCAAACTAAGGCCCGGGGGCCGGATCCGGCCCAATTGCCTTGTAAATCCGGCCTGCGGACAATCTGGGAATCAGCGTGTTTTTACATGAGTAGAATGTGTGCTTTTATTGAAAATGCATAGAATCATAGAATCATAGAGTTGGAAGAGACCACAAGGGCCATCGAGTCCAACCCCCTGCCAAGCAGGAAACACCATCAGAGCACTCCTGACATATGGTTGTCAAGCCTCTGCTTAAAGACCCCCAAAGAAGGAGACTCCACCACACTCCTTGGCAGCAAATTCCACTGTCGAACAGCTCTTACTGTCAGGAAGTTCTTCCTAATGTTTAGGTGGAATCTTCTTTCTTGTAGTTTGGATAGAATCTCTGGGTTATTCATGGGGCATAGGAATTCGTTCCTTTAAAAATATAGTCTGGCCCCCCACAAGGTCTGAGAGTCTACCACCTCCCGAGAGAGTCCGTTCATTCTCAAACAGCTCTTACTGTCAGAAAGCTCTTCTTGGTGTTTTGTCAGAATCTGCTTTCTTGTAAGCCATCGGTTTGAGTCCTACACTGATGAAACAAAATACCTGCAGGTCAAGGGAAGTTTTATTGTTTGCGGCCAAGGGCCATTTCAAATAAAAGGCACGCTCAGTAGTGGCATGTTTGTGTGTGTGCATGCACGCAAACAGTCTAAATCACAGAGCCTAGGGCTTGCCAATCAGAAGGTCGGCGGTTCAAATCCCCGCGACAGGGCGAGCTCCTGTTGCTCGGTCCCTGCTCCTGCCAACCTAGCAGTTTGAAAGCACGTCAAAGTGCAAGTAGATAAATAGGTACCGCTCCGGCGGGAAGGTAAACGGCGTTTCTGTGCGCTGCTCTGGTTCACCAGAAGCGGCTTAGTCATGCTGGCCACATGACCCGGAAGCTGCACGCCAGCTCCCTCGGCCAATAAAGCGAGATGAGCGCCGCAACCCCAGAGTCGGCCACGACTGGACCTAATGGCCAGGGGTCCCTTTACCTTTATGCACGCAAACACAAACACACTGTTGCTAAATTTGTATTATAGGCAGGTGGAAAAGGTAGCGGCTCACCTGTCTTGGTATGTAAGGCTCACCAGAAGGGGGTGCTAGTTCACTGCCACATTTTCCCGGAAAAAAACTGCATCATAATCCCTGGGACAAACAGGGTTGAAAAACTAACTAGCAACTTGAAATATACTTGGAGTCGAGAGTGGATTTCATGCTCTTTATCCAGCTCATAGTGGTGAGGAGGAATGGAAGTTCCCCCAGAATGTCTGCTTTATATACATTATTTACACAATGGGCCCCACGTGATTGGCTAATTCCGGGATTCACCTGTAGGCCAATCAGGTTGCGGATTCACTTCCACCTGGAGCTTGATTGGGTGGCTCCTGTGGACCAATCAGACTGCTGCATTCTGAATCCTATTGTTTGAAGACCAATCAGACTGCTGCATTCTGGATTCTATTCAACTCAGTACATAACACACCTAATTCGGAGGGGTGGGGTGGATCTGGATAGGAGGATATCAGACCTCTGATCTGCAGAGGGTCCCAGGTTCAATCCCTGACAGCATCCTCAGGCATGGGTGTGAATGTCACGTAACTGAATCCCCGACTGCTGCCAGTCAGCGTAGACAATACTGAAGTAGATGGGGCTTGGTATAAGGTAG